CCCCTGCCCTCCTGCCCTAGGCAGCCAGACCCCGGCCCCCCACCGCCCCTGCAAGCGGCACCCACCCTCCTGCCCGGCCCGGGGTGGGGAGCAGAGCCCTGGGTGCCCCCCGGCAGCGCCGCTCCTGGGGTCCCGGCTTGTACAACCCCCGGATCGGGACCAGCGTTACCCCACGGTACGAGGAGGAAGCCCACCGGTGCCCACCCACCCCCGGTGCGCTCAGAAGCCCGACCTGACCAACGCTGATGCTCAAACAGGAACAAAAGAGGCGACAAGAAGCGGGTCTGAAGGTGAATTTTATTGAAAACAATGACTGGGTTTAATGGGTACAGACCGTTCTCAAAAATACAAGGCTAGAGGGGCTTCCGATGCAAGTCAAAATCCTCGTCCACCTTAAAGCCAAGCTGGTTGCCCGCAGGGCTGCCGTTCCCCCCTGCCGTGGCAGAGGGGACAGGAAAGCGTCGGATGTGAAGAGGGACAGGTAAGACCCTCGTCGAATGAAGCAGAGCAGACGGCACACGGAGGTGTCGTGGTGCCTCTTCAGCAAAGCCTTGCTTCATCCACAGGGTCCCAAGCCGCACCAGAGGCATCTCCCCAGTGTTTGAAAGGGCAGATGCTCCCTCTCCCCGAAATACGGGAATCAGGACTTGCTCGAGGAGGAGAAATGCAGGGAAAAAAAACCCAAACCATGCAAAAAAAAAAAAAAAAATCACCATTCCCCAAAGCACCAAAAAAGGGTGAGATAAAGGAAGGGGAAAGGAATCGAAACAAGACGAGAAGGGAAAAAACAAAAGCTCAACATCAAAACAAAACCCAATCCAAAGTAACCAACTATGGAAAAAAAAAAAAAATACAATTGTACATCTCAGCTGCAAAGCTGTCAAACCAAGCCGGGTAAGGGTGGGGGTGCTCCCGGAGAGCGTCGGGTGGTTTGCAGAGCGGGACCAAGGAGGGAGACGTGGAGAACATCAATCACTTTCTTATTTTACATAAAGAGGTGGGATGAGGGGGTCAGGGTCAAACCAAGCTGAACCAGGTTTGTCCAGCTCAGCCTGGGCTGCTTCTCTCTTCTCTCTTGTCAACACAAGGAAGGGGATCGGAGGGGTATCGGGGGGAAAAGTGCTGCTGCAAGATGCCCCAGCACGAGGGCATGAAGGACTGAAAACCATTTGCCCTGAAGCAGCTTCCCCCGGGAGCAGCTCGCAGGAACGGATGGTGTCAAGCAGCCCTGTTCCCAGGCAGAGGGTCCCCAGCGCTGCTTCAAACCCCGGGACCGCAGGAGTGGGGAGCAATGAATTTAAGGGGACATCATTCTTCATTGGGTGGGGGGGACCCTGAACACTGGAAATGCACCCTGAAATCCAGACCTCCAGGGCATGAATTTCAGGAAAAAATTTTTTTAAAAGATTCAGTTAAAAAATAGATGCATTTCTTTTTAAAAAAAAAAGTCTTAGCCCAGAGTGTCTTCTAGTGACCCCTTCCCCACCACCCCAAATTTAGCCAGAAAAATGCTAGCCATTTCACCAAATCTGCTGGCTACATAGACATTCACACATTCATCATTGATTTAAAAATATATAATATATATTGCGCACACACATACACACACAAATATATATTAGAAAAGAAAAAAATCCCTCTGAAAACTCAATCTATTAAAAAAAAAACCAACAACAAAATCCACAGCCGGTGCGTTTATCCCGTGATCATATACAGTAGAAGACAAATTCCTTTTGCTCCCGTAGCTCCTTGCAGAGTGCTCAGGCTGGGAGAGTGGGGAAACACATCAGGTTTTCACAGTGGATTTGTTAGCGGAGAAGGAACTGCTCCTCCCTCCTCCCACACAGAAGGGCTTTAATTTATAGCAAGTTAGATTAAAACTAGGAAACATGTTACAAAGTCCATTATATATAGACATAAAATGTACAACTGTCGGCAGCCCCCATGCGAGTCACTGGGGTTTCGATCTCGGCTGACACCTCGGCAGGCAGCTGGAGGGTTCGATGGCAGTTTGGGACACGAGGGGTGCAAGTACAGCCTCCGAAACGAGTGGGTGTCACAGTGCGAGGTCTTACATGAGCTCCAGGTTGGAAGGCAGATGGAGCAACGTCTTCTCCAGGAGCGAGGGAAGGCGGAGGCAGGGGCTGCAAAAGGCGTTAGATGCCCGGAGCGGGGATGCGTCCTCCCAGCCCAGGGCTGGAGGGGAGAGACACAGCGCCTGGGGACCTGCTCGTCTCTCCATCACCTTGTGCCCGTGTGGGGAAGGGAGCACGGTGTGGTGGATGAAGTCCTGTAGGCAGGCGTGGGGAGAGCGTGAGTTGCAGCTTCCATCAAGCTCATTGAAAAATGCCTTTCCCGTCCCCCCCAAAAGGGAGCAGCGTATCGATTGAGGGAAGGGGACGCCTGGTCTGGTGCTACTCGAAGGGTCATTACGAAGACGAGCCCGGCATTGAAACAGCCTCTGGTGTGAAGAGCGGCGTGCCCGGGGAGCTCCACAGCCCCCTAAAAAGCTGTGTAGGCTCCTGGGGGCAGAGAGCCAAGCACAAAGGGAAGGCGAGCGAGACCAGACTCCGGGGAAGGGGTCTAGGCAGGGGAGAAGAGTGGGGCAAACGCAGCAGCATTTTTACTCTCTGCCTTCCCCAGGCAGCAAAAGAAACACAACCCTCCTGCGCTGTGCACCAGGCTGCTGGGGAGGAGAGATGCCCTCTGGCACCCTCTGCCCTGGCCCCGCTCAGGCACCACGGGCAAGGTCCTCTCCCCGGGAGGGATACGCTGGCATCAGCAGGGAATTCCCGAGCCTTCAGTCTCTGTGGCTTAGTTGGAAAGGTGTTGGCTTCAAAAGGCTCATCCTGGGGGATTTCATTTACAGGGCAAAGAGAAAAGAGATTGCGAGGCCGGATGGGGCCAGAGATGCCCACAGGTTGGGGAAGTGCGATTTGTGCAAACCACCATTAACTCAAGTCCTCATTCACTCTTCTGCGGGGAAGCCAGGATGGAGGGGACTGCACGAAGCCGTGAGGTTTGAGTTAGGAGTCTTCCCCGAGGATCTCGGTCACAAAGGAGGCCATGTCAGTCTCTTTGGTGTCGTGCAAGGTAAAGAAAGGGTGTTCCTGCCAACAAGACCAAAGACAACATCAGCTCACACCCAAGGACAGACAAGCCCAAGAGCAGTCCCTGGGGGATGTCAAACAGCTGGCGAGGTGCTGGGGGAGAGGTGGACACCAACCTCCTCCCCAGGCTCCCACAGAGGCCAGCCTTTAGCTTAAAGATTAACTAACACTTTCAGGTTTGGCATTTCTAGGTTCAACCCCAGCAGGACAGCCCACCTTGGCAGCTGTACTACCATCATTTGAGGCCTAAACTCACCAAGAGCAGATAGGACAGAGGAAGAAAACACCTAGAAACCCTGACCTTAACAACCCATGACATCAACACACCCTTCCACCTTAGACACACTACACCCATCCTGCTCCGTGCCTGAAAAATCACCCACGTGTCCTGGTGTCCCATTTTCCTAGGACCTGCTGGACCATTAGTTTGACTTTTGAAACGCGTTGCGATAAAGGCCAGCAGAAATGGCTTCGCACTTACCATAAGTTCTAAATAGTTCATTCGCTCGGCAGGGTTCTTCCTTAAGCTGGAAGACAAAAAAGTGGGAGAAAAAGGCTGTAGGATCTTTTTTTTTTTTTTGCTGTATGTGGTCTATCACAAGGGATCTCCCCTTCCCAATCAACATGACATCCTTCTCATGGGCAGCACCCATTCCTCTCCCTCCTTGGCCAAGCATGTTTCAACCACCAGCAAAGCGGCCAGGCAGGTAACTGGGAAAGGCCAACTCATGATGTTTTGCCACAAAAAGCACAAGCCAAGCAGCTCGCTGCAGTCTGCCCCGCACAGCCTCGCTTGTCCGCACAGACCAGAACAAACGGGGAGGAAAGGAGATGGTGTCCCACCATCTATAGGGTGGGCAGATCATCTCAAGGCTCGTTCAAGCCTTGCCTCGGTGGGCTCACCCCTGCCTGGCAGCTCCAAGCAGCACACCGGGAGCAGAGGGACACCCCAAGGGGAGCAGCTACTGTACGTGGTACCCACAAAACCACAAATCGGCTTTCACCCAGAGGCTCCCAGACGCTGCCAGGGGTTCGTTCTCGTTTCATTGCCGCTTTGCCAGAAACCACCAAAATTTCAGCAGCAACAACAGCAAAAGGGGAAGAGAAACCTCCGTGCCTTCCAACCAGCCTGGGTGAGTCAGGCCGAGAGCAAAACCAGTTTGGGCAGCGCTTCCTGCCGTGGCCAAGCACCAGCCTCAGTACGGCAAGGTGGGGAGAAATGGGCTCCAAAAGGACAACAAACCCAGCCCCACGCTTTGTTCCAACCCCCACGGATCAGGGCTCCTCTTCAGCCAGGCTGGGAGAAGCCACCGGTCCCTGCTGGAGACTCACCACTGCGCCGTGAAGTCCACAAACTCCTTGGAGAAGCGATCAGTGGGCAGCTGGGGCGAAGGCTCCTCCACCACTTGCTTGAGCTGTTGGAAGGGGGTCCCCCAGGACTCGTATGGGAAGCGAAGAATGGCCAGTTCGATCTGAGGATGGAGACAGGCTGACATGAGACACCAGGACGAGCACAACCCCACGCAGCCTGCCTACCTCAGCCTCTGCAGCCAGCTCGCATTCAAATTGAAAAACCTCTTTCCTTACAAACCATTTTCAATTTGGGTCATACCACTTTTTTTTTTGAAAACACAAAGAACCAGAGGCCAAAAATACCTCCTTTTGAGGCTGGCTCAGCATATTAATGCATTTACAGGAAGCCACCGAAGATATGTAAAATGGGATTATTTAAAGAGATAATAACAGCACGCCGTTTCTGCACCAGCTTCCAAAGTGCTTTGCTCTCCATAAGCCAGCCTCTGGGCTTCAGACTAGTATTGTATGAACTAGACACAAAAAAAAAAAAAAAATCCACAAACCCAAGAAAAACCAAGTGCTAGAACATCATTTAGGAAGATCTTTGCCAAACCACCTCCATTACTGGGTCCTTCCTACAAGTCACCTCTGCTCTGTCACCCATTCAAGCAGGAAAAAGCCCGTCACAGCTCTTGGGCAGTCACCTCATGTCAAGGGTGGGCTCCCATCTCGAGACAGGCAGAAGAACCTCCAGACCCACCTGTCAGGGTGGGACGGGATGGGATGGGAGGAATGAGAAACCTGAAAGGATGCAGGGCAGAGCCAGGGACCCCCACCTGCCTCTGGCTCAGGCCTGGGGAGCTCAGCTTTTGCTGCTGGAAAACTGAATGAAGCCACCAGCCTGGAAAGGCCTGGATTAGCCCTGCAACTAGAACTGGCCGGTCTGAAATCAAGCAAACCCTTTCAGAAATAAAAAAACCCAGGAAGCCAGCCCAGGAGGAAGACATTAGAGGGTGTCAGACAGGTCAGGGCCCCATTCAGCTGCAGGCTGGCAGGCTTTCAGCAAAGTCCCCTCTCCCATCCAGCTTTGGAAAGGTTGAGAGATTTCGTCATTCATGCAGTCTCCCATCCCACAGCTTCCTGCATCTCGGGAAGAAAGCCGGAGCTGATTACATTTCCAGCCAGCCAGCCCAGCTCTGCTCTGCCCTGGCATGGAGACACCAAGGAGAGGGGCTTGGGTTTGGCACTATAGACAAAACTATCTGGAGAAGAGGGAGAAGAGGGAATATTTGCCAAGAGATCTGTGCAGCACACACAAACGCAGGGATGCAGCACCCAAAACAAGTCACAGCGAACAGGGCGCAGGAAGAATTCCTGAAAATAATGTACAGCAGAGAGACAGTCTCCTGGAAAGCGAGATGCATTCTCAGGCAGCATCCCCTTCGAGCCAACAGCTGGGATTTCCTTTGTCCTCTGGCGCCAGAAGATTTCAGCTGCTTTCTGCAAGATCTGTTTCTTGCAGGAGGTAGATAAACCATCCTGAGCAGCTGTGATTTTGGAACTGAAACTATTTCCCCTTCCTGTTGGCTGCTCTGAGTTACCCTGCAGGCAGGACTTGCTGCAAACGATGCACAAGCACCCCTCGCTGCAGCAGGGCAGGCTACCTCACCCTGATCCTCCTGCAAGGCTTTGCTAACCCAGGAGCGGGGTGCATGCTGGAAAGCTGTGACCCAGCTGCAGCAAACCCTGCTCCACTGACTACCCCTCCAGCCAGCACACGGGGAACTGCAGAGCAATTAAAAGCCAGACTCTTGCATGCTCAGCTAAGCCCCGTCATCCAGATACGGCCCCCGGGAGTCTGCCATCCACACCAACATAGTTCAGAGCTAACTGGAGCTATTTGGAGCTGGCATTGTACACAAGTAGCTCTGTGAAACCAAGCGGAGGAGTACAAGGGAACCACGTGGGGATAACAGACCTTTACGTATCCCCCCCAGGATCCAGCAGGAACATGCAAGAAGGGAGAGGAGGAAACAGAAGGGGCAGAAGATGGATTATCTCCTGGCAAGCTTGCCAACCGACTCGGCAAGTGCGACGGCAGTGGTGGCAATGCTGGCTGCACGTCCCGGCTCACAGCTACCTTGCCCCGGGGGTGAGGTACCCCTGTATGCACAGGGCAGCAGCACCACCCTGTGCCCTGGGTAATTCATCTCATGCCCTGAGCTATCATGCTCAGAATTTAGCCCCATTTGGTGGGCATCCACCCAGGGGTGAAGCCACCAGATACCACCGCTCACGGCAGGGTTAGAGCCCCGCCAGTAGAGACCCCATCCCAACCCCAGGGCTGCAGGATGCCGGTCCAAGCCCTCGGTGTTACCATTGTGATCCCCAGACTCCAGACGTCCGACTTCACGTTGTAGCCCTTCTGGTTCAGCTCAGGGTTTATTCTTTCTGGCTGCAACAGCAAAATGGAAGATATTACAACTCTATCTCGTTTTCCCTAGTGCAAACCCCACAGAGCAAATCTCTGGCTCAAAACCCGGGTTGTGTGGACTCCCCTGGCTCATGTCCCCATGGAGGCAGGGTCTGAGGTTAAATCTAGCACTGATTGTTCCACACAACCCACATAAACTCTCCCCTCCAGCTCCTGAGTGAGACTTGTACTATCCCTGCAGCATGATCCCTGCCCCAGGAGCACAAACTACCCACACATGCCACACAGGCAAAGGGAAATTCATACTGACTTGAGAGGATGAAATTAAATGATCCTGCCACAAAAAAACTCAGCGTTTTCTAGCCAACAAGGAGCAGCCCTTCCAACCACCACAACCAGCACCAGCCAGTCTTTTACCCTTCTGCAAATGGAAGGTGGCAGAGGAAGAGTCTGCTGCGGGATTAACACACACAGCAGGGCTTACAGGGAGGGTAGTCCCATCCTTGGAGAACTCTGCTGAGTCAGGAGGCCCAGAGCACTCTGAAGTGGTTTCTATCTCAGGACAGAAGTGAACCAAGACTTATTTCTAAGCAGCAGCCTCTTCGAGTAAAGGCTGAAGGCAGCTGAAGGCTGCCGGCTCCGGTCCACACAAGCACACTTACAGCCATGTACGGTTTGCAGCCGGCATCCATGGTCTTCGCAACCGAATCCACCAAGTAGCCGCTGATCCCAAAATCGCACATTTTCACATGTCCTTCCTTGTTGATCAGCACATTGGAAGGTTTCACATCTAAGAGAGAGAGCAGGAGAGGGCAGATTGGGCCTTTGCAGAGGCATCACAAAGCCTGAGACAAGACAGGAAACTCCCCACCGACCTGGGAAGGGAGCAGGCAGGCCATAACACAACAGAAGGGAGACAAAACCCCACCAGTCTTTTATTGAAATAAAAGTTGTTCACAAGTAAAACTAGAACCATGCCCCTCCAGGCAGAACAGGCCTCCTCTCTAATGAGGCAGGTCAAAAGGTTGAAATAAAATGTTGAGGAGTTAATGCCCAGCTCCTTAGGAGAGATTTATGTGCCCAATACAGCCTTAAAAGCTCAACTCTACCAAGTTCTCAGAATGTCTTCTCTCATGCCTGTCATGATCTGTCCACAACTGCACAAGGAACTATACCAGGATGAAGAACAGGACCTGAGTGTTACAATTCCCAGCTGTGATTTGCAAGATCTCCTTCAGCCCTCACCTTGCTAGAACTACCCAGCCAGGAAGGCTAGGGGATTTTGTCCTCAAGAGCTGCCTTCAATGCATCTCTGTACTCAAGGAGAGCTAGAGATGCCTATAAAAATACAGGTAATGAGGAATTCAGTTATTATATTCAACCCTTCATCTGGAAAGAAGGATGAGAACAACATCATGCAAGCAGATGCATGAAGGATACACCTCAGGAATAGGCCTTGGGCATGTAGATCTGTCCACGATGGTACCAAGTACCATTAGACCCCACTGCAGGCATCCCAGAGGCACACAGCACGCATCTCCCGCGAAGGAGCCCTCACATAACTTATTTCAAGGCTAGATCTCCAGCCACATCAGGCTAACTCCATCCAGTACCTACCTCTATGGATTACGGACAGTTTACTGTGCAGATGCTCCAGAGCTCGTACAATCTGGGAACAAACACAGTGAAAGAGTATCCATTAATCACACACAGCACCAGCCTTCCACTGCAAACACACCACCCGTTTCCACATGCCATGAGCTTGAACAGAGACCTCTGACAGGCTCAGGGAATGCACAAAATCACATAAGAACCCAAGAGGCACTCACAGACACGGCCATTTTCCCCAAAATGTCTTCAGGGATGGTTTTCTTCTTCTCCAGTACTTTCTTGTAAAATTTATCTAGCGAAGTGTCCATGAGCTCCATGCAGATCCACACGTCGCCCTGCAGGTGGAGAGAAAGCAGTTGAGAGGGAATTCCCTGGAAATCCCCAGGAGCTGAAGGGAGAGGTGGGGACGGATGGACAAACACACACTGCCCCTTCCACACGAGGCAAGTCAAGGCCCCTGCCACACGGCCGCTGTTGGCCACACCACCAGCACACGGGCTCCGCACTGGATAGTGATGGGCACAGATGTCCAGGTACCACCAAAACTACCTGCGATGGCTCCCTTTGAGGGTCTATTCCAAAGGCAGTCCAGGATGTGGACAATATTCTTGGGCACTTGCCATGAAAGTGAGGAATGGGACTAGCTCAACACTGCCTGATGGAGGCAAACCTTTGATTTTAAGTCATGGCAGCATCTCATACAGCCCAGCTGGGCTGAAGAAAGCAAAGGTGGTTTGGGACAGTTTAGTGCCTTCAGCACAATCGCAGGGGCCCCAGGTGCCACGCAGCCCACCAGCCATCCGCCAGCTCAGTACCTCACGGAAGAGGGCTCCGTAGAAGGTGACGGTGTAGAAGCAGTCAACTGTCCTCATGGAGATGTCCAAGTCCATCAATAACCTCTTCTGCTCCTGAGTGTTCACAGTCGCTCGAATTCTCTGAGACAAATATGAAAGAAGAGGTTTGATGTACGTAGGATAACACCATTATCCCTCGGGCTGACTCAGTGGACCTGCGGTTCTGAGGCCAGGGTAAGTGTTTTGGGCTTATTTTGCAGCCAGCAGCACCCCAGGAGATGCCCAGATTCCCTCTTCCAGACAGCACCTTAATGAATGACAAACCCTCGGCAAGCTCTTCAGCAGATGCAGGATCAGGCCAGCAGCCTGGAGAGCCACTCTGACATCCAAACCTTGCACTATCTAACTGCAGGCACCAAACCTGGCTTTCAGAGCCTGCTGATCAACCCCCCAGTGTCCAGCTGGTATCAGCACAGACCCTCCAACAGCCAAGCCACACCAGGGATACCAGATGCTGCCCAACCGAGACAAGTCTGTCCCCATTTTGCCACGACCAGTGGAGTTCAGCAGAGTCTCTCCGCTCCGTTGGAGCTGCACGTCCTGACCTCCATCTCCCTCAGCAAGCAGCTGTCCTCACCTTCACGGCCATGATGGTGCCGCTCTGCGCGTGCCGGACTTTCTCCACCACGCCGTAGGCCCCACGGCCCAGCTCTGAAATTGCCACCAGGTCATCAGCTTCCACCTCGAAGTTCTTAAAGAAGAGAGACAAAAATCAGACACGGGCACGCTTATCACCAAGGACATCAGCAGAGGTCCAACGTTTGCAGCTCGTTCATGCAGAGCACTTCCAAACAATAGTACCTACAGGACTCTACCACCTGCTATATGTACCAGAGGCACCACGCTTGGAGAACACAGGTATATTTTTTGCTCTGTTGAACCAGAGCCCAAACCCTCTCACTCCGGGCTCATTTAATTCCCCCTCTGCAGCTAGAGATCAGGACTTCCATCCTTTAAGCCAGGGCACGCTGCCACTGGAAAGGGCACCAAAGATTGGTGCCTCTCTGCCTGCTCGGGATTACCCACCCAAGGGTATTTCTGCAGTTGCTGAACTGCTTGCAGGATTTTAACAGCTCCCGTGCCAACATGGGCAGCAGTCAGGAGCCTCTGCCACAGCTCCAAATCCCCGTGCACAGCCAGGGATCCCCCACCTCGCCCCACATCCCTAGAGATCATCGGTCACAAACACACCTACGTGTCTAATAACACCTCCGCCTGTGCAAAGCCTCTCTTCGATGGGATGGTGCACACAGCCACCAATTCCTAATCATCAAGGAGTTCACATGAGTTTTACCTGCTTTTGATACTTTCTCCCACCATCAGAAAGCAGCCAGCAAGGTAAAACGTGAGTTAGCACCAACGAAGGAGCTCAGGTGAGTGCAACTACGTAAGTCTCGCTTCAAGCTGGAAAAAACCCATCGCCGGTGCGCAGACAAGCGAGTGCCCCGCGCAGCAGGGAGCCAGCGAGCTCCTGCGCAACCCACGAACAAGTTTCCCTAAAGACGTGTTACTCTAATTGCCTGCTCTGCTGGGCAGGGCACAAACTGTTTGAGTGAGACATGGGCTATTTTTGGACGCTGCGTTCATCGCTCCTAATAAGTCACAGGCCTTCTTTTAGCCAGGCTTTATCCAGCCTCCAGTTTTCCTCCGGTCTCAGGGAACAAAAATATAATACCAGGATGCCAAATTGCCCCAGTAGCCACAAAGGCAGCAAGGGTGGGAAACATCCACGGCACAGCACCGGATACCGTGCCTGCGAGCTACGCCCAGAGCGGAGAGGAAACAGCCTTTGGCATTAAGGAGCCAAGCTGGGAGATGTGGCTGCCGGGCTCCTGGCCAGCAAGCTCCCCAAAAAAAAACTGGCCACAGCATGGCCAGCAGCGACCAGGTCCACCAGACCTTCCCACCAGCCCCAGCTCCGTTTATTTGAGGCAGATGTGCCTGGCAGGCGGCCGAGGCAGGGAGCAAGAGAGGTCTGTGCTTGAGCTCAGCGCTGAGCTATGCGCTGCCCAGCACAGGAAAGTGCCGGCCCTTTCCTGGGCAGGACGGTGGATGCAGAAGTGAGGAGAGCGGGGCTAACGGGGACACATCCAACCCCCCACCCTGCCGCCCCGGGCAGCTGGCAGAGGAGCAGTTCAGGCTCGCAGCTCCTGCAGGGGCCTCCAGGAAGGATCTGGTGGTGCTTTTCAGGACACGTGTTCTGCAGTTGTTCCAGGTTATTGTAGGGTTTTTTTTCTTTTTTTTCCTGGCATTTAGCACAAGGCTTCCCCAGAAGCTGGCGGTTCCCAGCACGCTCCAGGAACCAGCATCGCCCTGCCCAGCAACAGAGGCGATGCACCCACAGAGCCAGCGCTCCCCTCCCTGGCATCGCTCACCCCGTGCTCTGAGGCATTTGAGCCGGTAGTGGGGACGCAGGGCATCACCTGCACGGATCCAATGGACTCGAGGTCCATCATCCACCCCCACGGCCCAAAGTTCGCCTTCTGCCCAAGCCCTCTTCCTCCATCTCACATTGCATCACTCCAAAAATACCTGGACCAGATCCCTCCTGCAAACACCAGCACAGACAGAGCAGGGAAGGAAGCGAGTCTAGAGAGCTTTCCCCAAGCTACAGCACTCTCCCGTTGCAGACGCCATGCCCAGGCTGTTACAGAGAGCATCTCTCTCCAAGCTATTAATACCCACAACACAATGGCCAGAAAATTATACAGGCAGCAGGGTTGTTCCCTGGACGCAGCCAAAACTTCCTCTCCTTTCCCCTCTCTCCTCTCCTATCTGTCCCTTAACCCTAAAACCTTGCAGCAAGACCGAGGGGCCCAGATCCCATCAGCCGAGCCACCTCCCAGCCTGGAAGGTAAGCAGCTAGATACGGGGCTGATCCAATACATGGTATTTTTAGCTCATTTGCAAACAGCCTTCTGCAGCCCTAGAAGAGCCCATAACAAGAGAATGAAATAAAAGAGAGGCAGTGGCTATTTCTAGCAGTGTTTTTCATCAGGTCACTGGGAAAGGCTTTGGAGAGCCAGAGAGAAGCTTTGTGCCCAGCTTCTCCTGGGCCACGGGCAGTAACACAGCCCTGCGGGTCAGCAGGACAAAGGCGACTTTGTTTGGGCAGCCAGAGCACGCAGCAAAGCCACGCTAATTTAGGGCGGATGGGCTGGGTCTGTGCATTCAGTCTGAGGTGGCCAGTGGGGCTGTCAAGGGACCACTGTCATCTCCCAGTATGGACAAAACTGCACACCCAGCCTTTGACACCCACCTGACAGGGACTGCCCGCAGGCAGGAGAGACCAGCCAGCGAGCACACAGGCTCAGAGACGAGCTGTCTTGCAAGCAGGGTGACATGTTCAGCTCCCCAACAGTCACTGCTCTAAATACACATAGAGACCCCATCGCTCCACAGGGGAAAGGTCCTGCTGTAGGATGTCTCACCCCTGCAAAGATGCATCCCATGAGGCTGCACCAGGACGGCACTGTCCTTCTCATGGGATGCTCTGAAATCTCAAGATATGATTTGACAGGTTGTCAGGCATGATCCATAAAACTCCTCATAGAAGGGGCAAATAAAATTGGAAGCAAGCGAAAAATAAACCATATTGACACGTACTTTATCTCCAATGGTAATGAACGCTCTGGAGTCCAAGTTCCTCGGGGGCCTGCAAGAAAAGAGAGAGTGTCAGGAGAAAGCCCAGCTTCATTAACCCTCTTGGCCAGAGCCAGGTTTCATGTTCCTTCGAGCACTTTCAGCCGCTGCTTTCCACTGTGCCTTGTTGTCGTGGGTTCAGACCAGCCCCCTCCAAAGATTGACAAATGCTCTAATCGTGCCAGTAACACCTCAACTCACACCCACGAGGCACTCGCAGCACGCAGCCAGCGAGAACCCCAGAGAGTCAGCGAGGTGAGACATGCATCAAACCAACAGGCTACAAAACCATCCCTGCTCAGGAGCCTGAGGAACCGAGACCGATGGGATGAGACGTTTCTGTGGCAGAGCAACTCAGCTATCATGTTTTGACAGGCAGGTGTTGTAACAGGACAGCCACGTAGCCCGAAACGCACACCGAGGCAACAACAGGTAATTCCTCACCCGTGAGTCATTTGTGTACACTCGCAGGCCTGTTTCAGGCAGCGTGGCAGGCAGAGCAGGCAGCACTTCAGTGTCATGCTTTGCACAACACGGTGCAGGCGAAAGTCTTCCTTCATGGCTTTTTTCCTCATTGCTGCCCACTTCCCATTATGGACAGCACGGTACTTTTAGAGCCAACATGAGTGTTTTGTCCCTCGTGCCTCACTTCTCTGCTCTCCCCATCCCCTGGGACCTTCTAAGAGTGGAGATTGCCCAACTGGTTTAGCCTCCCAATTCCCATCAGAGCAATACGGCAACCTCCGGCTTCAAGGAAGTACTTCAGGCTCACAGCAAAAGCCTTGCACTGCGCAAATATTTGCACTGCAGCTTGAAAAGCACAGAGAAAAGGAGTTGTGGATAGCTTGCACCAGCTTTTACATGACTGCTCTGGGCATGCAAGCGCCCCGCAAACTCTGGTGTGACACCTTCTCCGGGGGAAATTCAAACACAGATAGGAGCAGAGACAGATGCACCCGTGGGGGAAGGAGGTGGCTGTTGCATGCAGGGCTCGGCGTGTGCATGCTAGACTGCACAGCATTAATGGGGGAGTTCCCCTGGCTCTCCCTCCGACAGATCTGCCCTATCTACCTGGGGTTTTCGGTAGTGATATTTGCCCTTCGGGGATTTCACTGCTTTCCTGGAGCTGGAAGGGTCTCTATAAAGGGTTTCTGGAGCAAACAAGGCTCAGCGGTGGAGACGCAGCCCAAGGTGTTTTAGAAGCACACCACGGAAGAGGAATTTTAGCCGTCTGCTCTTCGTCAAACCAAGCATAGCTACCCTGGGCTCTCTCCCACAGCGTAACAAGCATCAGTCACACGAAGCAAACAGGGCAGAGAGGAATTCCAGTGCCCTGAGATACTGCTGGGCACCAGCCTCCGGCACCAAGCAGCACAACAACAGTAAGATGTCTGTGTCCTCCTTGCACCAAGGCGAGGAGCTGCAAAGACCTCAAACTAGCCCTGATGCACAGGTCAGGGGGAAGTTGCCCTGCCATGCAGAGCACCCCCCAAACCCTCACCCCCCCTGCTCCTGCCGTGGTCCAGCTGCCACCACCTCTTCTCTTGCCCTGCACTAAAAACCTTCCCCTCTTCTTCCCTTGGGCAGATTTGCTCTCTCCACCAGGTCTTTGCTCTTTGGTATCGGCACAGCCATGCCAGAAAGACTGAAGAGAGTTTCCCAGCAGTCACCCGTCCTTTGCCTTTCAGCCATTTCAAATCAAACAGGCACCTCCCAGAGAGACACACGCTGTGCATGTGTCTGCACGCACACGTGCATACGTAACTCCTTCTCATCACCCACAAGCCAGAGCTTAAAGTAAAAATTAACTATGCTGATTTTGTGAAGTCTTCATGGGCCATTCCCCTTGAGATGGCACCGAATCCAGCTCCGGAGAACTGCTGGCTGCTTTAAGCAGCAGAAACACTTACGTTGTGTGGGCAACAGGCTGTTTGACGGGGATACATGTTATCCTCAGATCGCATTTCTTCTTGCTTTTCACTGGAAGAGAAGATGCACATGTAAGCAACCGGCATTTTCACTTTACTTCCTTCAAGCATCCTCTTGCCTGCAGCCACCAGGTAGGGGAGGCAGGGACTGGATCCCCTACACTGTGCAGCTACGGCAAGATGACAGTCACAGCGCTAATGACCATTTGCCCAAAATTTCAGGCAAGAGCCAGAAGCACAAGTGGGTCTCAATGTCCCTGTCAAGCACCTGCCCGCAGAACTACCAGGGGTGCACTGACAGAGACCATTTTCCAAGTCTCGCAGCCAAGCACTGCCTTGCAGCGCTCCTCAGACACCCCAAAAGTGCTCTTTACCCTTCACGGCCATTAACAGTCCCCTCTCTTCGGGGATTTTAATTGCTGATGTTCAGGAGATGGGTTAAAGCTGTGATTTCTGCTGGGCACTTACCCGGTTTGTGCGGCTCCAAGGATCCTTTGGAATCTGAAAGAGAGAAGGGAGACACCAGCTCAGCCTTCATGCTCCAGACCCGCCGGGTCCCAACCCCGTACCCCTCAGGGTCCCACGCAGGGAGCCCCGCGGAAACCCCGTACCCCTCAGGGTCCCAACCCCGAGCCCCTCCGGGTCCCACGCAGGGCCCAAGGAGAGCCCTCCCGCCTGCGCTGCAGGCAGAGGGAGGCAGACGGGCTGCCAGAGCCCGGCCTAGCCAAGCCTGGCCTGATCCCCGTTTCTCCAGCCACAAGAGGTCCCCACGCCATTAGTGATGCACAGGGCTCCCGAAAACGCTCCCTGTCCAGCTCTTCCTTGCCCCACAGCCCCCCGGCCCCCACCCAGGCCTTCTTGGGAAGAGCCAGACCCGTGCTGCAGCGCGGGTCGGAGCTGGCATGGAGCGCGACAGCCATCAGACCTCAAGCAAAACCAAGGAGTTAGTCCCAGCAGGAGAGGGGACACCCCACACACAACGAAGGGAAACCAGGGCAAAACCAGACAGGAGCTGACCACAAGTGAACCGGCCACAAACCCAGGCTTGCAGAGCCTGAGACCCCACCAGACAAGGCACGACCCCATCAGGAGTGACCGGCGAGAGGATGCTCTCTTCCCCAACTCCAAAGAGCACTAAGATAACATCACCCACTGCTGCAGAGGGAAATGGGGTTCAGGCAGGTCCAGGGCAGGCCAAACACCTGCAGATGAAACTACAGGGACAAGAGATAATGGGCACAGGGGGCCAGCGGGCAGCAACGGGCAGAGGAGACCCGTGCAGGGCTGAGAATCAGCTCCCTGCGGTGCTGCGGACCCCAGGCTGCTCACCGCGGCCCCCGCCGACCCCAGGCTGCTCACCGAGGCCCCAGCCATTCCTCCATCAGCAGAGAGCTCACCCACCTACCCCAGCTCGCTGGGAAAACGGCTGGGATGGGGGCTGAAGTGATACAGCTGAGAGCATCCAAGTCCTGATCCCCCCAAGAGAGATCAGGGGGCAGCTGCGCTTTGCAGCTAAAGGCACTTCTGGCTGCACAGACCTAGAAGATGCGTTAAAAAAGCACGAACAGCAAGATGTGCTCCAGGCACCGGGCTGGGAGCCGACGGCTCGGAGTGGCCTTGGACAGCCCTTCAAAGCGGCTCCTACCTGCCTGGCTCCTGGGAACAGGCATGCGGACAAAGTCCAGCATTCCGAAGGCTGCCGGGCAAGGGAGGGGACAGGCGAGGAG